CCCACCACCCCCCCCCCACAAAAAAAACATACAAAAACAACCAAAAAAAACCCAACAACAATAACAGTTTGATGTGACACACTGTGTCAACCAGCAAAGGTGTCAACAAGGAAACCTACGTGTGCTCCCTAAGACCTTGTGGCTCCCCCTCCTGACAAACTCCCTCTCCTCCACGACATCCACATCGTTGGCGTTGAAGATACCTTCCTGTTCAACATCAGACGCCTTAGTCCTGCCTGATGACAGACACGTGAGGATGCCCCCACACGACTTGTACCTGGACGGTAGAATCACCTTATAGAAGCACATATCACTTAGCAGCACTTACCACATAGAAGCGCGTAAAACATAGCAGCACGTTCCACATAGAAGCACGTACCACATAGCAGCACGTACCACATAGAAGCACGTAACACATAGCAGCACGTACCACATAGCACCATGTACCACATAGAAGCACGTACCACATAGTGACAAATCTCACATAGTGACACATACCACATAGTGACACATACCACATAGTGACACATACCACATAGTGACACATACCACTTAGTGACACAAAGCACATAGTGACACATTTTACAGAGTGACACATACCACAGAGTGACACATACCACATAGTGACACATACCACATAGTGACACATACCACATAGTGACACATACCACTTAGTGACACAAAGCACATAGTGACACATTTTACAGAGTGACACATACCACAGAGTGACACATACCACATAGTGACACATACCACATAGTGACACATACCACATAGTGACACATACCACTTAGTGACACAAAGCACATAGTGACACATTTTACAGAGTGACACATACCACAGAGTGACACATACCACATAGTGACACATACCACATAGTGACACATACCACATAGTGACACATACCACTTAGTGACACAAAGCACATAGTGACACATTTTACAGAGTGACACATACCACAGAGTGACACATACCACATAGTGACACATACCACATAGTGACACATACCACATAGTGACACATACCACTTAGTGACACAAAGCACATAGTGACACATTTTACAGAGTGACACATACCACAGAGTGACACATACCACATAGTGACACATACCACATAGTGACACATACCACATAGTGACACATACCACTTAGTGACACAAAGCACATAGTGACACATTTTACAGAGTGACACATACCACAGAGTGACACATACCACATAGTGACACATACCACATAGTGACACATACCACATAGTGACACATACCACTTAGTGACACAAAGCNGGGGGGGGGGGGGGGGTACAGCACCTATAGCCCT